GTGCCGGCGGTAATTTGGCCAGTTTGAATAATAATCTGAACACAATTAAATAACTGAAGATTACACAATTATTCTTGTTAATTAATTAGTCTTGTTAAATAAGATTAAAGGTATGATTCCGAAGACGGCGACAAGTGACCGCGACAGACGACAATGACAGGCGACAGTGTCGCTTGTCGCTGTCGTCATGTCATTGTCGATGTCGGCGACAATATGAGCGAGATCTACGATGCTAAGTGTTTAAGTGACGTTCGCGAAGTAGTTATAATAATTAATAAATATGTCTGATTACGTGATTGATAAAAATGTGTTACTTGAATTACTGATGGAAGACGATGAAGAGGACGAAATATTGTTACTGATTGCAAAGAAAAGAAGAAAACTCATTTTACCTCTGTTTAAAAACAGACCTAGGGAAGGAAGCTATTCCTTACTCTTAAAAAAACATTTATTCAGCGATGAGGCGACTTTTTGGATATTTACATACTAAATTAATTAATTTGCCTTCTTCCTCCCTGGTAAAATCTATTTTTTGACAAAAATCTGCGTGTGCATATGAATGACGACACGACAGTACCGGACAAATACCGGTAGCGTCGTCGGTCGCTTAGACGACATGTTGGATAAAAACTGTCGCGCGACACCTGTCGTCGGACTCCGACGTACTCCATTTGATTCTAAAAGATCGGTGGAGTCGCAAAGCGATAGGTGTCGCTGTCGTCTGTCGCGGTCGCTTGTCGCTGTCGCCGTCTTCGGAAACTTCGGAACTCATTTCACTAGTCCGAAAATGTAGTAAAATAAAGGTTTGGCATTTAACGTTTTATGTTGAACTGGCTAGGTATTTTTACACAAATGAAGAAGGAATTAAAGATAAAGGATTACACCACGGCATATAAATCAATCGGTAGGCTAACTCTCTTTAGCGGGAACGCTACGCGCATATCCTTGCGCACGCCGCCATTTCAGTTTCCATCAACAGAAAGTAACCAGTGTCGTAGTTTTTTTCATCGACTACACACAGTTACGGCAGATTCGAGTCAGTAGCGTACGGATTAATTTATTTTGTTTATTTCTTGAGTTATATATTTTATAGTTTTTATTTTTGTGTTATATATTTGGTTTTTCTAGTTTTATTCTCGTTTCTTGTGTAATATAATTTATTTTAGTAGTTTTATTTTTGTTTTTCTGAACATTTTTAAATTTTTAATATAGCAGTGGTTTGATAGAGTAATTAGTTATTTTTTACGTGTTTTTGCAATGCCTGGCGAAGTTGTGCAGCAAAAAACTGCCCGAGTAGAACAATAAAAGTTTCTTTCTGTTTTCTAGAGATCCTATTAGATATGTATATATATGATTAATTATTTTAACATATTTTAGTTAAAACATATTGTTGTTAAAAAATAGTGTTTGCGTATTCTCCGATGGTGGCAGCACCAAGCCTATAACCTAAAATATTATCAGTACCACTATTATAAAATAAATTGCACCTGATATTCATATCATCAATACATATCGATTAAGTTCATCCGGTTTGTCGAAACTTTCAAATTTTCTTTTTAGTCTCAAATACACTTAAGATTTTCTAAGCCAGGTTTGATATCGATGGCATATATTCATTTTCATGGTGTAAAAGCAAAATAGATTTGTCAAGAGCGTCCTGTCTTGTACAATTTTGGTCCAAAAAAGTACATCGCCAGACATTTATATTTAAATTCATCAGTGAATCTTCTTCCTTTAACCGATTTGTTAATTTGTGAAATTTGAATATTAATAAAATTTGCTACGCCCATTGATGGGCATAATTTGTACGTAACCTCTTTATATTGTTCAATAGATATTTTATTGGGTATTTCTTTAATTCTTGTTTGTAACTCCTGGCATGTTTTTTTAATTTTAATAATTGTCTATTCTCTACAGTGAAATATTTAATTGATTTTTTCATTTTTACTTTTCGAGGAGTATGCGCGGTTAACGATTCATTTGTTTTATTGTGTAAATAAAATTCAGTTTCAGTCAATTACAGTATTCTTTTAATACGACCCTGTCTATCAATAGTTTCTTTTCTGAGAAATTTTTTGATACGTTTTAATCCGGCCCTGACTTGGAAACGCTAATGGCGCCGTCAAGGTCAAATTTTATAGAAATTTTATTAATTAAGAATTATGGAATCTGAGCAGAGTTGTCGCGCCGATTGTTTTATGTGCCGTGATTATACTATATCCGTATTGTAGTACATTTTTAGACAACTTCTTTAGTTTTAAGATTTTGATGCTCAAACATCAACAAAATATTCTTTATGTTGGACTAAATTTTCTCGAAAATAAAGACATTATTTAAAATTCCGTTACAATACGGAAATAGATTGAAGTTTTGTGATTACAATGATAAATTTATACAGGGTGGGCCACTGAAAATTTACAATGACTATAATTTTTAAACTAAAAAAGATATCAAAAGAATAAAAAATACCGTTTCTATAATATCGAGAGGGAATACATATGACGTATTTTTTGAACTACACCGACCTACCCCTTAGGCGGCACCCCTACTCACTTGAAAATCTTAAATGGCAACACCCCACTTGTGGCGCCTTTTTGGAAAGCCCATGAAAATGCTAAACGATGGTCATAAAGTTTTTAGGGTGAAATTGAAAAACTACCCCTTACGCGAAAAATTAGGTGGACATTAATGAAAAAAGTGATTTTTTCAGCATAAGTTACAAATTGGGACCCAGCTAAATGAGGCAAATGAGGTATTTTTCAAACTACCCCGACCCACCTCTAGGTGCCACCCCCTCACTTCTAATCTCAAGATAGCGATACCCCACTTGTGACACTTCTTTGGAAAGCTAATTGAAATTACTAACGATGGACTTCAACTTCATAACTGGTAAGTAGTGATAAGAAATGTAGGTGTGACAATTTGAAAGAAATTTAAAATGATAATTTATTTCAACAATTGCTCAAAATGACGATTTTCAAATTCTTCTCTCACTTTTTGGAAAGTCTCGCTTGGAATATTTCGACATGCTTCAGTTATCCTCTGCCGCAATTCTTGCAACGAACCTGGTTTTGTCTTGTAGACTATGGATTTAGTGTAACCCCACAAGAAAAAGTCTAAAGGAGTCAAATCAGTTGACCTTGGCGGCCACTCGATTGGACCCCTTCGGCCAATCCATTGCCTTGGATAATATCTATATCTATCCAACCACCGCCTTGTGACAATAGAATAATGCGGAGGGGCTATAAATTGTTCAGCATTTCCACATAAGCATCACCAATCAAATTTCCGTCGATGAAAAATGGACCTATAATTTTATCGCCTAATATTCCGCACCAAACATTGAGGTTTTGGGGATGTTAGGTGTGTCCTTCAACAACAATATGTGGATTCTCACCGCTCCAGTATCTGCAGTTCTGCTTATTCACATTTCCGTTTAGAAAAAAAGAGCACTTATCACTAAAACATATTTTAGTGAGCGAAGGTTCCCTTCGAATTTCCTCCGTTATTAGTTCACAGAACTGAATCCTTCTATCTGGATCGTCGTCGCCAAGTTCCTGCAGAATCTTCATTTTGTAGGGATGATATTTGTGCATTTTCAATACTCTTCTGACAGATGTTCGAAGTATACCTGTGATTGATGCCAACTGGTATGTTGATGCTTCTGGATTGACCGATACCTGACCAATAACTTCTATCTGCATTTCTTCATTCAGTACCCTGGGCCCTGTCCTTCTTTTATTTTTGACCTATCCAGTTTCTTGACACTTTATAATCAAATCTCTAACATAAACGTGACTTACGTTTTTGTACGGATTTCTCCCATTGAAAGCACAGGCCGTTCTCAAATAGCACATACCTTCAGCACCATAAAGAAAAACTATTTGAATTCTTTCTTCCACAGTCTAAACCATTTTTCTTTCAAACAAGCGAATCAAATAAATGTAATGAAAATACCACTAAATTTGCATACGATTGAAAATCGATAGAAGACAGTGCAAAAACACAAAGATATGCCGTTTTAAGATTCCTGTTTGTTGAAAGTAAAAAATAGATGATAAGGTAGAATTTGCGTTATCACAAAATTAGGCTGAACGATTAGTAAAACATCTTTGTGTTGCCTTTTTTATTATCTACATTTTTTATTTTTAGCTTCAAAATGGCAATGGTTTCAAAATGGCATTGATGAGAATAGAAGTGAGGGGGTTGCACCTAGGGGTGGGTCGAGGTGGTTTGAAAAATACCTCATTTGCCTCATTTAGCTGGGTCCCAGCTGGGTCCCCATTGTTTTTCATTAATATCCACCTAATTTTTCGTGTAAAGGGTAGTTTTTCAATTTCACCCTAAAAACTTTATGACCATCGTTTAGCATTTTCATGGGCTTTCCAAAAAGGCGCCACAAGTGGGGTGTTGATATTTAAGATTTTCAAGCGAGTAGGGGTGCCTCCTAAGGGGTAGGTCGGGGTGGTTCAAAAAATACGTCGTATGTATTCCTCCTCGATATTATAGAAACGATATTTTTTATTTTTTTGATATCTTTTTTGGTTTAAAAATTATAGCCATTGTAAGTTTTCAGTGGCCCACCATGTATGGTGTTGTAACAAACTGCTCCCTATTTTATGGCAAATGCTGAAGCTCTGCACAGCTTAATCAAGCCTTAATCAAAGCACGTGTGTTTGGAATTTTGGATGTGACTTAACACGACAGGATCGGGCTAAGCCTTTGGCAAAATTCTGAAATATAATATATATTTCCTTCGGCCACACACCCGCTTTACCCCATCCCTGAGAGCGACCCGAAAGTACAGCGTGATTCATTTTTTAGGGGCTCAAAAACTCAAAGTCAAGTGCAGTGGTGCATTAATACTTATCTTTCCAATTTGGAGGAAGCTGATAAAAACGAAGTTTTAGCCGAGAGGACGTTGTTCTTTAAGCGATTCGTTTCTCTTTTTAAGTTCCCGGGCAATTATGACGCTACAGAAAACCGTCAGAAAATATCTTTGAAGAAATCTAAAGTGTGGAAAGCAGATATGGAATTGGTAAGTATTGTAAATTTGTAATCACAAAACATTTTCCGATGTACGTCATCAATCATATCGACATTGACAATAAAGTCTATAAACCTGACTAAATGAAATTTTGACAAAGATGTTCAAATTTGTTGTATAATTTAAGATACCGAGCAGCTCTCCATTTGACTTTATAGAGCAAATGATTGTAACAGATATTTTATTTAGATTAAAGCTTCAAAAATTAGTTTAAACCGAATTTTATTATCGCTATGTTGGTCACATTGCGCCGTTTTCAGCAAGGTTGTCGTTTATTATTTGACAATTATCCTAATGTCAATCATTATTTGGTATAATATCGTGTTGTTGTTGAATCTTTGTGAGTAATTGTAGTTTTTTGCCTGTTTTCAAAGTCTTTTTTTAAAAATTGTACTTTAAAAGCACAAACAGTTCTTTTAAGAACTAAATTTTCGAGTTTTTGTATTGCATTTCTTGAAATTGTGTGTTGAAAATATGCCAAAGCATTTTAACAGTCGAAGCAAAGAGCTTGTAGCTTCCCCTGGATAAACTCTTTTGAACGAGAACGTTGGCAATAGAGACCCTTTATTACCCTTGACTGCAGTCAGAGAAGCAAGTTTGATTGGATAAGTACATTACACCACTTTCATTATTTCTACGTTAGTTTTTATTAAATTTTGTGATAATTAGTTTGTGTATTAATAACACCCACTTACTTATTATTATTACCACTTGTAGGGTTGTAATATGTACAGGGTGGTCGAAATTAGCCTGTTTTAACAGAGAAAACCTATTTCCTGACTAGATAGAGCAAAAACCTACATAGATGTCATGGGCCTCGATTTCTGAGATAAGTTTAACCAATTGTAAACCGCCTGTTGATATTTTCACTCGCCAACTGAGATGCAGGGTCTTTTTTGAATTTTTACCATTTTGAAAATTGGCCACACCTTTTTATTTTGCGGAATAATAAAATTCTGTAAAAACTTTTTTAAGCACAATCCAGTGGCCTAGTCAGTTTTTTTCTATGCTTAATATTATTTAATAAAGTATCTGGATAATTAAAGTCTTTTGAAAAGGTAAATTAACATTCTATTATTATTAGTAATAGTAATTATTAGTAATAGTAATTATTAGTATTAGTAATTACAACTGAAATCGATACAATAAACAAAGAACAAAACTAAAAAAACGTATTTTTTGAGTGACGAATATAGTTTTGTAAAAAATTAAAAATGCTCAAATAGAGCACCTCCTTATTGAATACGCAATAAACATCTTTTGCGCATAGAATTACAACGATTTATTAGGCGAACTGGTTAATAAGTCCAAAAACTTGCCTGGTAGCTTTCTGCAATTCTTCTCTCGTCCCAATGGTACTTCTCTTATATATAAGGTCTTTTAATTTCCCCCATAAAAATGTCGGAAGGAGTTAAATCACAGGACCTAGCAGGCCAAGATATGGGCCCCTTGTTCCAACCCAATTCTCTTCAAATTCTCCATTTAATTGTTCACTTGTAACCCTTCAAAAGTTTTTAATTATGCAGATAAATAATAATATAGAATATTAAATTGTGATGAAACTAATTAGGCAACTAGGTCAACACAAAATCAAGGCCCGCTTGGATAAAAAGATAAAAAATCTAATATTTCCCTCATTCTTAGAAATAAATACACATACGTAACTTTATATCGTTGGAAAGGGTTAAACGCCAGCATTTTTTTTATGTTCATAGCCAACTATGATTTCCATTTAAAAAATCATATTTTTTATTATTTCTGACAAAAAGAGCACGTATAGAGAAAAACTGACTACGCCACTGGATTGTGCTTAAAAAAGTACTTTAAGAATGTTTTTACAGAATTTTATTATTCCGCGAAATACAAAAGTTATGGGCAATTTTCCAAATGGTAAAAAATTAAAAAAGACCCCGTATCTCAGTTGGCAGTGAAAATATCAACAAGCGGTTTACGCCATTAAACGTGTCTCAGAAATCGAGCCCATGACATATATGTCAGTTTTGCTCTATCTAGTCAGGAAATAGGTTTTCTCTGTTAAAACAGACCAATTTCAACCACCCTGTACATCAATAAATAAATAAATAACCCATAATAACTCTTAGAATAATCTTCACAATGGATTATTAGTTTTTGCCAATATGTAGTTAGTAAATTAAGCTATAAAACAAATAATATATGTTGTTTTTCACTCGTAAATTAAGATTCATTTCATAAATCCATCATAATCTGGCAGCGCTGTCGTTTGTCACTCAAAGTTAATCACGTGCATCGGAAATTGTTTTGCGATTACCATATGTGCGGTTACAATTGCGTATTTAGTAAAAAAGATGAAAGTAAATCAGAGAAAATGTTTCAAGTCGTCGAAAGAATGGTTAGTTTACCGACAACAATTATTATCACAGTTCAATTTATTAAATGAACTTTTATCTCTTGCTTGTTTGAGTATTCTTTGGATTTCATTCCACAGACATGTATTTTCTTCTTCTAAGAAAAATTGAAGAAAATTACACGTATTACACTTTTTTTCCAATTTTACGTAATTGTTTTCGATTTTGTTAGTAAAATAATGCAAACAATTCCAGGTGACAATAGACGTAATAATACACTCAGATGCAAAAAAAACGCAACGGAGAAATTTTTGGTCAAATTTAAAGTGTTATATTTTTGTAATTTTTGTGCTCGGTGGCGTAGAGGTACAGGCTCTCGTCTACCAATCTGAAGGTAGTGGGTTCGATTCCCACACCCGGCATTTCATCAGCCGACTATTTTTATTAAAATAAAAATAGTTTGGGTACCTAGGTCGACTCAGCCTTAAATGAGTACTTGGGATTCACAATCCTGAGGTAATAATAGGCGGTAGAAGCGTAGTGCTAGCCACGTGTGTTAAGTTAGCACAACCACTTTAAAAAAAATGTATGAAACTATGTGGAATAATTGACGTAAATTAGCCGTAATTTTGCCGTGAAAACGAAAAATTTGCCGCTCTTCGCTAAGTATGTTAAATCGATGGTTGTGCTAAGTTAATATTAAGTTAGCACAACCACCATTGGAAATCAGTGAAAGAACATAGTTAGGAATTTTATAGTATAGCAGGAATTTGCCGTTTTTTTTGCCGTTCTTAGATACAATTAAAAAAAATATCCTCCGATCATTCCCTATCCCCCTGCAACAAAAAATGTAATAGCGTCAAGATCACATATTAAGTTAGCACAACCATTCCAGTAAACGTTAAGTAAAATGTCTGAAATTAGATGGAACAATTGCCGTAAATTAGCCGTAAATACACTATGCAAACGAAAAATTTGCCGCTCTATAAAAGGATCTTATCGCTCTAGAGGATCCATCATGATGAAATTGCATTTGTTGCAATTTCATCAGCATGGATGCATGTAGTGTAGTTGAGGCAGTGGAACCGCTTATTTTGCTGTGAATGTGTGGGGCTTCTTTGATACCACCTACTTTAGTAGATAGAGACGCTAGAGCGGCATATTTCCATGGCCAGCTGGGTCATCGGATTCAATATGCCTGGGTTTTAATTTATGGGGTCGAATCAAGAACGAACATGGATAAATAGTAATTAAATGGTATTAAAATGAAATTAAAATATATGTTTTGATATTTTGACGTAACCAATTTACCTCTTTTTGTTTCCTAGCCTACTGCTATAATTTTTAGCCCATATAATCCTAAGCGGCAGCCTAACATGATTTGTTCTCTTAATATTTCCGGTTAGAAAAAAGATAGAAAGTTGCGGTTTGCGCTGATATTTTAGAAATTTTATGCTCTATTTAACTGTGCAAAGGGAAATATAGCCTCCTATTTAAAATTTTTACGCAAAAGCGCAATATCTGTTATGATGTCAAACAGCGCCCTCTAGCTACCACGAAAATAATTGTGAAAACAAAATTTGTACTGGAGATCATTAAGGAAGAAAAGCTCTTTTAAACGAGCCCTAGTTTGTTTAAATCGCGTAACCTAAACCAGAGTTATCCTTATTTTAATAAAAGCAAATTTAACCTTCCCCCACCACTTTATTTTATGAGATAGAGCAAAATACTTTATATCAAAAAAATTACAATTTTCTCGATGATTACAATAGTAATATTTAAAATACCTGTTCGCCTGCATATTTTGGAGAAAACCCCTGTTTTCTGATTGGTTATTAGAGAAACGCCCCCTAGCGGGCATTTTTCGAACTTGAAAATAATTTCCAGCGATTTCTCTTGGTCGATTTACATATTATAATTTTTTTCCCAAAGTTATACGGTTAGTAGTTTCTGAGATACAGCCGGCGTCCATTCTTAGTTGGCCACCCCATGGTACCTTGCTACGGGCCATCCCAAGGCGTTAAACGCTATATACGGGAGCTATTATTATTATTATATTATTATCTTTTTGTTATTTTTAGCCCTATTTTCATGATTTTTTTTAGCAAGCTGAATATAATTATATCAACTTTAATTCGTAAATTCAGTTTTTTTTAAATTTAGTATTTGGCTTATTATACAGGGTTAATCGAGGGGTTATTTTTTACCCTAATTTTGAAACACCTTGTGCCATAATTTCGTGTGTAAATTTTCCTAAAATATAGTTTTACTGTCAGAACCATGTCTCCTGAGTATTTTGTTTTTTGGATCATGTCAATACATGCCTTGGTTAATTTTTAAAGGTGAAATGAACTTGCTACCAACAATTTGCAATTTTTTCAATTATTATCATTTCTTTTTGAAGTTATTTTTCAACATGACAAGGCGGCTTTGGTGATTATTGTGATATATACTACTATGAACTACCCATCATTTTCGACGTTTGGGAAATGTTGGCAGGAGGGTTAGAGGTCACGAAGCGGTACCAGCTTCATTAAATGAACTACGCTTGGTCCTGAAAGAAGATGGGGAAACATAACGCAATATGATATATGCAGCCTCAATGATAATGTGAATACGGACATATACAGGCAGTTATAGCAGCCAAGGGAGGCAATACAAAGTATTAGGGTAGTTTTTACATTTTTTTTCTGTTTGTATGATGATGATGTTTTCTTTAATATCGTTATTCTGTTATTGTTATTAATGTTTATTAAAACCCAGGCTGTATCATTAGTCTTTAACGTTTTTTTTTAATTTAGTATAGAGTATCCAATGCAGCGTAATATGATGTTACAACAATTGTCACCAAAACCATCTCGTCATAATATGAATGTAATTCTTCAATATTATTGAAGAATTACATCAAAATGTAATGATAATTGAAAAAACTGCAAATTGATCAGTTCATTTCGCTCTTAAAAATTAACCAAGGCATGGATTGACATGATTCAAAAAACAAAATGCCCAGGAGCCATGGTATATAGTTCTTTAAGTCTTTTTAATCGTTATTGTTTGTTACTTAGTGTAAATAAATTGTGTTTAAATAAATTCTGACTTTCTATCCACACGGAACCGAGGAAAAACGTAACAGTAGTATATAGTTCACCATAATTACCAAAGCCCCCTTCACATTGAAAAATAACTTCAAAAAAGAAATGATAATTGAAAAAATTGAAAATTGTTGGTGGCAAGCCCATTTCGCTCTTAAAAATTAACCAAGACATGTATTGACATGATCCAAAAAAATGCTCAGGAGACATGGGTTTGCTGACCGTAAAATTATATTTTAGGAAAATTTGCACACGAAATTATTGCACAGGGTGTTTTAAAGTTAGTGTAAAAATCAACCCCCCGATTAACCCTGTACAATATGCCATATACTAAAGTTTATAAAAAACTGAGTTTACGAATTAGAGTTGACATAATTATATACAGTTTGCTAAAAAAAGCATGAAAACAGGGCTAGAAATAACAAAAATATAACAATTTAAATTTGATCAAAAATTTATCTGTTGGGTTTTTTTTGCATCTGAGTGTATATTTGTTTTTATTTTTTTAGAAAGTTCGTACGTACAAAAGAAACCCCAGCAAAGCGTATTTAATTCCAGAAAAAAGTCCAGCTGTATCTCAACCTAGCTGTAGTAAGGACGTATTGGCTCCGATACCGGCAAAACGCCTTAAATTGGAAAGTCATTTAGGTTTGACGTATGTTGAAAGTGATCCCGATGATCCCGAAGTGCCTGAATCTAACTCCGGAAAACACGAAGTTCCAAGTCCTTCAAAGATCACAGCGCTTACCGCAAGTCCAGAGAAACCACAAACTAGTCCGTCCCAATGCCCTTTAAGATCAAAAATGATAGATCGATTAAAGGATCAGATAAACAATATTTTGAAGGATCTAAAATCCCCTGTACGTATTAACAACCAAACCAAACAAAACAATCAGAGTAGTTCAAATAACATAGCTACCGTTGCCGAAGATCGGGAAGATTTAAGCTGTAAAAAAGGTTTAGATGCTATAAAAGAAGTAAACACTGGAAACGATATAAATTCGACACAGCAACCGATCAAAGTCAGTGAGGAAACGATTAGTGGCAGCAGTCAGGGTAATTTAAATAAAGCAGGTAACGTTATCGAAGATCAGGGAAATAAGAGCCAGAAAAGTGATTTAGACGAGTTAAAACTCGATATTAGATTAGTTGAAGGAGTTAAAACTGGAAAATGTTTTAATCCAGCACAGCAACAGATGAAACTACTAAAAGAAATGTCGAGCGCTAGCGGCCAGAGTAATATAAATAAAGCAGGTAACGTTACTGAGTCTGAGGGTAATAAGTGCAATAAAGAAGTCGTTATTGAAATAAGAAAGCCGAAACGTTCCTATACGCGAAGACAGCAACAAAATTCCTATAAGAAACCGATGAATATAAGTAGCGAAAATAATTCAGATGGAGTAGAAAACTTTCTGCTAGTAGTTTCTGAAAAGAAACCAGAAACCACTGTCTGTAAAACAGGATCGGCGATAGGTAAGAAACGCACACGAAGAACAAGCAGTCGCAGTAAACAAGACTTAGATATCAACGATGGAAGTATCAAGGTCGATCGTGTGAGACCCCCTCGACGTTCCTATTCGCAACAGAAACGCAAAAAGCCCGTAAAAGCAACGCTTTATATATAAGTAGCGACAGTGATTCTGAGGGAGTAGATGATCTGGAAGAAAATGTTTCATATAAAAAAGAACCAATTGTAGGGAAGAAACAGACACGAAGAACAAAGGGGAATATTAAAAAAGACTTAGACTTTGTTTGTAATGAAAATGGTTCAATTGAACGTGAGCGACCTAGAACACGTGCCTATTTGTCACAGCAACACAAACTGGAACAGGAACAAATTAATATGTGTAACAAGAACAACACAGATGTAATAGAAAATATCTCTGAGAGAACTAAACAAGAGAGAGTCGCCGAAATGAATCCAGAACAATCTAGTGATACAGTTTTGTGTGAAAAACAACCAGCCGGTGAACTGAAAAATGTTCCTGAGAATCCAAATGTAAGGATCACCGAAGAGCATCCAGAACAATCTAGTGATATAGTTTTATGTGAAAAAGAACCAGCTGGTGAAATTGAGCATGTTTCTGAGAATCAAGCCGAAGGACATGTGGAATATCAAAACGAAAAGATCACCGAACATCACCCAGAACATTCTAGTGATATAGTTTTGTGTGAAAAAGAACGAGCAGGTGAATTAGAAAAAGTTCCCGAGCATCAAATGGAAGAAGATGTCGAATATCAAAATGTAAGGAATACCGAAACGCATCCAGAACCATCTAGTGATGTAGTTTTGTGTGAAAAAGAACCAGCTGGTGAAATTGAGCATGTTCCTGAGAGTCAAGCCGAAGGACATGTTGAATATCAAAACGAAAGGATCACCGAAGATCACCCAGAACAATCTAGCGATACTGTTTTATGTAAACAAGAACGAGCAGGTGAATTAGAAAAAGTTCCCGAGCATCAAATGGAAGAAGATGTCGAATATCAAAATGTAAGGAATACCGAAACGCATCCTGAACCATCTAGTGATATAGTTTTGGGTGGAAAAGCGATAAATACTAAAACTGTCACAAGAGCAAATGAATGTGTTAAACAAGACTTAGATGACATAGACGCTATAAATGCTATTTTGGAAGTTGAACGCGACAATATTGATGAATTTGACATACTCTGACGTTCTTTAAGTTCGTTTCCTAGCTACAAAAGAATTACTGTAAGTATTGTATGATTGTTTATTACCTTTGTTAATTTGGTATTTATAGATAGGTATTTATGCATTTTTTTAAATTTTAAGTAAACCGTTTTTATATTATTAAAAGAATATAAGTTTAATTTGTATTCTGTCTTTATTTCTGTTTGATATCTCATTATCTAAATACAGGGTGGCGCCTCTCATACGCCGCGGAGGCTCCAAGAAGAACGACAGTATGTATTGAGATGAAATTTTGTGAGCTTATGTAGGTTAATTCAGAGCACTTTTTAAAAATATAGAGAGTTCTACAGAGTGTCCCCAAAAAAAGTTACATATCAAAGTTTTGTTTTTTGTAATGGAACACCCTATATATTAATTGATTTTCGGATTCTGGGAGAAAAATAAAGGTGAGTTTTATAAGAAAAGTATATGACAAAAATGTAAGGTTTTTGACATATTTAACATTTTCTAGAAATATAGAACAATTTTTAAATTACAATAAAAGCTACCTAAATTGGTATTTACCTGGTATAGCCTAATATATAGTTAAAGTAACTATTGTACTTTAAATCAAATTAAAACTTCATCCAAAAAGTTATACAGGGTGAGACAAAATTAATATTGAACATCGGTCACCTTTAAAAGCATGTTACTCTCTTATTTTAAATGGAACACCCAGTACATTATTCCGATATTCAATGGAGAATTGATGTCTCTTCAAAATACTATTAAGGTTGCTTACCCCCTCCGAACAAAGATTTTCCTAGATATTTTCATTTACACGATTTGATCTGAGTAGATCTTTATTATTTGATAAAATCTAGGTGGCTGTGATATGTCTGACGTTACTTCAACATAGTTGTCTAAATAGTCCAACTTTAACAACTAGTTATCATTTTCTGTCAGTTAAAACAAAAAAATTTCTCAGAAATTTGCCGAAAATGCAAACTTATCCTACATCACAGAGAATTGATATGATTCTATTAGTTTGTGAATGCACACTGCATTCACCAATTAATACCATTCAATTAATCGAATACTTAAATGCTCCTGATTTTATCTAGTCTAGGTTTTTCTATTGGGATATGTAAAAGACAGTGTTTACAAAAATCGACCAACTGGTGTCGACAACATGAGAGAAATGATTGTAGCTGCTTTTCAAGGTAGAACTCCACTTTATGCCTTTTAAAATGAAAAGATCCTTTTGAAAAGAATCATTTTATGCAGTTAACAGGAAAGGAAGCATTTTGAGCATTTGATTTCATTTAGCTAATTTTTGTCGCCTAATTATAGGTTTATATCTAGTTTTAATTCTGTAATAATTAAAATATGTTTTAAACGTGTATCTTTGTATTACCCTTGAGTCTATAATCTTTAATTTTTGTTAAATTAACAAAAATTATCACACAGCCACCTAGATTTTTTCAAATAGTAAAGATTTACTGACGCAAAATCATAAAAATTAAGATATCTCAGAAATTCTTTGTCTGAGGGGTAGGCAACCTCAATAATATTTTGAAGATATATAAATTCCCCATTGAACACCGGAAAAATATACTGGGTGTTCCATTTAAAATAAAGGAGTAACTTGCTTTTAAAAGTGACTAATGTTCCATATAAATTTTGTCTCACCCTGTATAACTTTTCGGGTCAAATTTTAATTTGGTTTTACATACAATGGTTACTGTAATTAGATATCAGGCTATACAAGGTCAACGAAAATTTAGGTAGCTCTTATAGAAATTTAAAAAATTTACTCTTCATTTTCACAAAATGTGAAATATGTCAAAATCCTTAGATTTTAGGGATATGCTTCTTTAATAAAACTCACCTGTATTTTTTTCCCAAAATCTAAAAATCGATTAATATATAGGGTATTCCATTAGAAAAAGCACAACTTTGACGTGTAACTTTTTTTAGGGACACCCTGTATAATTCTATATATTTTTATAAAATACTTTCAGTTAACCTACATATGCTGCCAAGATTTCATTTCGATATAAATGACCGTTCTCTTTGGAGCTTCCGCGGCGTATGAGAGGCGCCACCCTGTATAGGGGATGCTAGAATTAATTTCAAAAAATCTCTCAGACAAGGGAAGTTGCACTGTAGCATTCTGAACATCTGCACCGATTGAAGTAAAATTTTAACAGTGAATAGAGATATATGTAAGAAACAAAAGTTACTTAGTAGCGATATGTGCTGTCATCCTAGGGGAGGGTGCCACCCCTCCTCGGGGGTGAAAAATAAATCATCCATTTTAATTGCAAAAATCAATAATGTGATGAATTCTAAGCAAAAAATGTACAATCACATTTTTTTCAGAAAATTAATATTTTCCCAGTTATTTAGGATTGAAAATGTTGATTTTTCATCTAAAAACTGCATATTTTTCTGCCATTTTTTATAAATAACTCGAAAACCTTGCGTTTTGTCGCAAAACTAATATAAACCATAAATGACGCTTTTAGAATAGTTGCTGATTACCGTAGATGTAATTTAGAACTAAATTTCAACCTTTTACCGTAAAATAATGGTGAAAGAACACATTTTTCGAAGAAAATGAATATGACCGTTTTAAAGTGCTTGCAAAGACCTATTCGTTATTCCAAAAGCTTTCTTTTTTCTTTATATGAGTGTTATAGATAAAACGTAAGGTTTTCGAGTTATTTATAAAAATATGGCAGAAAAATATGCAGTTTTTAACAACAACAACAACAAACAACGCTGTATTGTACAAAAAGCCAAAACAGCTTCATCGACAAAGCACTCACAAAACAACAAAATCACAAAAAAATACAAACAACAAAAAATACACAATACAAATAATACAATTCAAAAAACTTTTAAGTCTTTAAAATTACAAAAAGAATATACATGGACAATTTTAGAACAGTACGCAGTAAATAGATATAATTTTAGAGTTATAAAATATTAAATACTTGACCTTTGACAAGTGTGTGAGATGATCAAAATTTTAAAATTCAAAATTGTTCATAATTAAACATCAACAAAAAAGTCGTATATAGGGCTCTCTCCAGTAAGTATGATTTTAGAGCTTTGGGAAATGCGTGAAAGAATGAAAGCGACTTGATATTCAAAGGCAGATGACTGTGCATTTTTTTGGCGTTGTACAGTATTGAAACTTTAACTAGTTCTGAGCTCGGGGTTGGCAGATAAAGATCGTGCTCTGCATTCCTAAGTGGATAGTTATGAGATGGCCTTTCGGGAATAGCAGATATGTGCTTGCGCATTAAGCAAACGGATTCAAAAATGAATAAAGAAGGAAGAGTCAGTATTTTCAAATTTTTAAAGAAATTGTGGCAGTGAGTCCTACTGTTCAGTCCCAATAAATATCGAACTGCTGTCTTTTGAAGTCTGAAAACACGATCAAATTTTGTTGCGCAGCAAGTACCGCAGAATGGAAGGGCATAACGAAGATGTGACTCAAAAAGGGCATAATAGGCTATTCTAGAGGTTGAGAAGTTAGGTTCCTTAGAAACTGATCTTAGCGCAAAACAGGCAGCGCTTAGTTTCTTTGATAGAGCTTCTATGTGAAAGTCCCATTTTAACGAGTTGTCTACAACAAGTCCTAAGAATTTCACAGAGTCCACGAGGTCAATAGTGGTGTTGTAAAGTACTTTTAGGTTGTATAGTACTTTTATATGACAAAAGGTTGTATAGTACTTTTATATGACAAAACTTTAGTTTTTGATAGGTTGAGGTATAGGAGATTAGAATCGCACCAAGACTTAATGGTGCGTAAGTCACTGGATATAGTATCATATAGTGCCGCAACATCTGGGCCGCTCCAAGTGAAACTAGTATCGTCCGTAAAGAGGTAGATTTTACCGCTAATGTCTAGATTTGCAATGTCGTTGATAAACATCAGAAACAAAATAGGGTCAAGTACTGAGCCCTGAGGGACACCACATTCTATAGGCTTACAAGAAGACATAGACGTATCAATCCTCACAAGCTGCCTTCTGTTACCAAGATATGACTTAGTGACTTTTAGTTGAAAAATCAATATTTTCAATCCTAAATATCTCGGAAAATATTAATTTTCTCAAAAAATGTTATAAAACAATTTTTGCTTAGAATTCATTTTGATTTTTGCAATTAAAACGGGTGATTTACTTTTCATCCCCAAGAAGGGGTGGAACTCATCCCCAGGGTGAAAGCACACATTGCTACGATTTGAAACTTTTGTTTCTTACATATATCTCTATTCACTGTTAAAATTTAACTTCAATCGGTGCGGGTGTCAAGAATTCGAAGGTAATTGTAATATTTTTATCCTCACTTACAGGCCTAAATATGGCTAGTTGAACCGACAAGAATTGGCATCGCAAAATAAAACAGTGTGATTTACTGTTTTAATGGAAACAGCATTCTACAATCTAACCACAATACACCAAAGCTGAGTTTTTAATCATCTGCTGATGATGCTAACATGGTTAGCGAAACGCGCGTCCAGTTTAAAAGTAAAAGTGTTTTGGTGTATTGTGGTGATTTAGTGTTTTTATTTTGCTGTGTAACACCAAAGGTTCCAACCCCCAACTGTAATTAATAATTAATTAGTAATCCTACCGTGCCTATATCAACCCCGTGGTAAACGTTACCTACCGATGCCGATGTGTCTATGTCTGTCGGAATTGTAATTCTTTGATTATGTTGGGTTTGATTTGGTTTGGGTGGGAATTGCCGATTATTTTTGTAAATTGGGATTTCGTGCTACCTTCGCTATGTGAGTATTCCATGTGAGCGTTTGAACAAAAAATACCCCAAGATACTTTGTTTCTTTGGAAAATTAAATCTCTGTTTCTCCTAACACCGGTGTTTTTAGACATTTTGGTTTTATCTTCTTTATAAAATTGAAAAATTTGTGTTTTTCGAGCATTGACTGTTACTCTCTCTTGTTTGCACCACTTGTCTCCTTTGTTTTTAGGGCTGTCGGCATTCTTTCTGTTATCATACCA